AATTGGCATCTACGGAAAGAAGAAGAGTCTCTGATGAGGATTGAGAGATGCATTAATACATAAATATAATAATAGCTCATTAGGAGTCATTAATAATATGTCCATGTAGCAGAATAATGGTATTATATTCTTTCCTTGGGCAATGCCTACCTAGTCACAGATTCTTGACCCCAAATAATTGTGCCTGATATGGGTTCCATCATGTGGAGTAGGCGTTATAGCCAATTAGAGAGTGATTGGTTGCTCATATAACATTTTTTGCCACTACTATGCCAGTGGGCATGTCTTACCAGAACAGCCACTATTGTAGCTAATAGCATCCATAACTGTGTAAGACTGATGATTTCTTTTTCTTGTAATATGCATAGGTACCTTCCAGCACTATCCTGTAGAGATGATACTTCCAAGTTAGCATCACTTGATTCCTCTGTATTTAGACTCTAGATAATGAGTTTAAACACAAATTGCAATTACTAATGTTCTGAAGTTACCTTCTGAAGTGTTTTCAAATCTTTCTTCTACTGTGATGAATATATAGATTTTATATATTAAATCCAAATAATGGAATGGAATTTTACTGAGGGTGAGAAGTTAAGTTCCTTAAATTGCCATTGGCTCAACAGATATTTCCTAGTGACTTACATGTTTCTGGGTGCATTGGTCTGGATATTGGCGTATGTCTATTACTTCATAACAGAAAAGTCATGGTAGAAGCATATGTCAAGGGATAATTTGAGTGTAAGATTAGTTTCCAGTTGCTCTGTTATGAGAGAACAGTTCTCTATTGTTTCTTATGTGTCTGTGGGTTGGCTGGACATGAGATAATCCAGGCTGGGTCCTTCTTTTCTAGTGACTGTCCAGGGCACTGTTAGAAGGAGCACAAGAGCCAGAAAACACAAATTACTTAAGGCTCAAGCTCAGAACTGTTACTTCTACTTCATTCTCTTGAGAAAAACAAATTACATAGCTGAATCCATGTCTTCAGGGCAGGGACATGCATCCCACTCTTACAGTGGAAGGAACTTGAAAGTCATTGCAAGGGGTGAACATAGTGAAGGATGAAGTTCTGGGATAATTCTGTGGTCTCCTTCAGGGGAGAAGTTTTAAGTTTAGGACTGTTCCTCCAGGGCGTGGTCCATACCACTTGTCTGCATCTGTGGCAGATGAGTCCTGTCTTGGGAATTGCTCATGCGTATTACGGCTTGATGCTATTAATAAGCACTCATTTTCCTCCTAACTCTTGGGTTCTAAGTCTTTCTCCAGGCAATGCTCTGATTGTCATTGGTTTCTTGAGTTTGTGACAAAGTATTCGAGCCATAAAATGCAAATATTTGTGCACAGCCACAATTCCTTTCCTTATTATGTATTATTAGATAAGCCCACTATCATCTACTTCTAGCATGCTGGACAGAGGATTCTTTAAGACGGAGAGATACTTAATCTGCTGACAGGGGAAAACAAAACAACTTTCTCAGTTGGAAAAGCTTCTAAAAGTCTTCTCTCTTATGATAAACTCACAATTTAAAGTCAGTATATATATATAGCCACCACTCTTTTTAAGGAGACCACTACCATGACGCAATTTTTTAAACCCAAATTCCTACATTTCCCATTTAGCCCCAGAACTTTGCAGTTAATAGTGGAAAGGAAGGGTGGTAGAAGCAATATAGTTTTAAAGTTGGGCAGCTAAACACATGAATAGTGCCTCAGAAGGACCTACCCGGGAAGCAGTGGATTTACTGATGTCTGATGTTTGAATAACACCTTTAAGAAAATCACATCAGTTGGTGTGTGTATATATGTAAGTGTGTGTGTGTGCATGCATGTGCACATGAACACATGCACATGTGCTTGAATATCAGAGGACAACTTTCAGAGTTGTTTTTCTCTTTCTACCATGTAAGGCCTGGACATCAAATTTATAATTGTTAGGAATTTTTCGTAACGCGAGCTCTCTGCCAACTCAAAAATCCCAATCAAGCCAAATCACAACAAGCCAAATTAAGAAATATCCAGGTTTAATGGGATTCCTGCACTCTTGGGTGGCCCCAAGGGGGAACCGGGAGGCCTTGAATGCTCTCCTTTGGGAGCTCACAAAAAAATACCCTGTGGGAGTGGTCCTTCTATTCTCCCCCGGGGAGGAGTCAGGACCTGGCATGCTGGGATTTGGAGTCCAGACCAATACAACTCTCAGGCCTGGGATGGTTGCGAGGGGCTGGGGGCTACGCTCCCAACTTAACAATAATGTCAAGAATAAGTGCAAATGCTTTCACCCACTGTACTGACTGGTTTTGTGTGTCAATTTGACACAGCTAGAAATATCAGAGAGGAAGGAGCCTCAGTTGAGGAAATGCCTCCATGAGATCCAGCTGTAAGGCATTTTCTTAATTAGTGATCAAAGGCCTAGCCCATTGAGGGTGGTGCCATCCCTGGACTGGTGGTCCTAGATTCTATAAGAAAGCAGGTTGAGCAGGGCAGAGGAAGCAATCCAGTAAGCAGCACCCCTCCATGGTCTCTGAATCAGCTCCTACCTCCAGGATCCTGCCATGTTCAAGTTCCTGTCCCGACTTCCTTCAGGGATGAACGGTGATGTGGAAGGGTAAGCTGAATAAATCCTTTCCTCTCCAACTTGCTTTTTGGTCATGGTGTTTCATAATGGCAATAGAATCCCTCACTAATACATCCACTAATCCATTTCACCAGCCCCATGAATAATATCTTACGGAATTGTGGGCGGGATTGGCCGTATCTGGAAGGGGGGCTGAAGTGCTAGAAGAAAGTCACTAGAAACCTTTCTCATGCCCTGGCACAGATGGATTTAATAGACCAGAACTTGCAATGAATCTAGAAGACCAGAGACATCTATCTAACTGCTGGAGTAGTATCTTCAAGGAGAGTTATGGAGAAGTCTGTGGGCAACGTTCACTGCTAAGGGGCTTCCACCAAGCTCTTCAGTCAGACCTGGGCCCTCTGGTGGTTAAAAGCACCAGAGGTTGGAAAGAAGAGTGAACCCTGGAATCAAGGACCAGCTAGACCCTGCCAGCCTCTTTGTGGATGCCTTCTACTGTCTAAACATGGCGGTTGTCAGGGATTAGAAACTCTCTCACCTCTACCATCCAAAATTTGGCCAAATTCCTCTTTTGGACATTCCCTCCCATTATTTATTTATTTATTTATTTATTTATTTATTTATTTATTTATTGAGACAGGGCTCTCTATGTAGTTGTTCTAGAAATTGCTATGTAGACCAGGCTGGCCTTGAACTGACAGAGATGTGACTGCCTCTGGCTCATGAGTGTTTGAATTAAAGGCACGTATGACCATACCCAGCTTCGTTTTAGCCAATTTAACTCAACCATAAGATAAAAGATAAAAGTCTTGGGGAACGAGGCTCATCTTAGGCAAGTCCGCATGGATACTAGAGAACGGAACTTGGGTTGAGTGATTTTTTTTTTATTTTGTTATTCACACAGCATTTACTTGAAGTAGGCATTCCGGTTTTCTCTGCTACACTCAGGAGGCCAGAAGCCTGTGCTCTGGAATCCTGGGGCATTTCCTGTGGCTTGCTCCCAGCTCTCACATCCTGTTTGCCCAGCTGCTCCCCCCCCATCACAAGTGATTGTACTGGTAGGAATCCCTCTTTTATCTGGGATCACATACTTAATTAAGATGCCCGCACTGTTGCATCTTACCTTAAATACTGAGTAGTTTTTTAAATTAGGCCTTCAGTGAAACTACCAACTTCATAGTGCCACGAAGTTTCACTGATCTGTGGGTTTGGAGGAGGGAGATATAACACTAGAGAGGAAGGTGGTTTTATAGGACGGGCACTGATATTGGAGGCCTTATCATAATTAGGCATTGATGATCATCCTCTAGGACATATTTCTCTAGAAGAGAGTTCTGTGACTAAATTTGGAAAATGGAAGATTAGCAAAAAAAATATAGTTCATAGGTTGTTCCGATGCTAATGCGCACTGTGAATTTCAAGGGAAGCAACTGAGTTGTCTGTTTTCTTAAGTTACATGGCTCTTGGGTCAATTCAACCTCTCCGGGGCCAGTGTCGCCAGGACCATGAAGGTCACAGGACTCATTTTGAAAAAGATAAGTATAATCTTTACTTTTTAGTAATCTGGAAGCCTCCCTACAAATTCTGTACATTTATGTGATAATTGCCCCAGCCAGCATTGAGATACTTACCATAGGAGGTATAAAAGGAAAGGGCCAGTCAACTCTGACAATTTTATGGGGATTCCTCCATAAAATTGGGGGATATATGGTGTTGTAGTGGACACATTTAATATTAATACTAATATCTGGAAGATTTTATATAAGCAGACTTAGCTTCTTTTGTTGTTTTATATGTACGGGTGTCTTGCAGCATACACCCATATCTGCCTGCAGAGGCCAGAGAGGATGCTGGAGCCCCTGGAAACTGATGGCTGTGAGCTGCCACCAGGTGCTGGACTCAAACCCCGGTCCTCTGTAAGAGAGCCACTGAAACATTTTATTCAGCTTATAATTAAACTTTTTATAAAACATTAAAAATCATAAAAACCACAACTTCGCCCTGTTGAACAAAAAGGTACAGAAACACCGCTAGCAAGAAAGGACTCTCTGTATTCAGAGTTCATCAGGCCAACAGCTTTCCCTCTTGTCCTCACTCAGCGAGAGAGAGAGAGAGAGAGAGAGAGAGAGAGAGAGAGAGAGAGAGAGAGAGAGAGAGAGAGAGAGAGAAGGGTGTTTATGTGTGTCTGTGTGTCTGTCTGTGCACAGCGTGTGTTCTCCCAAGGGCGGGGGGAGGGGAGGAGCCAGAGGGGAGGGCGAGCAGTAACTGCAGAGCAGGGGCGGGGCTCCCTCTAGAAGGGGCGGGCTGTTCTGGGGCGGGGGGAGGTTCAGGTGAGGGGGCGGGGCACCTGAAGGGTGTGGCGTGAGGGGCGGGACGAGGGGCGTGGCCTCGGAGGTGCTGGGCGGAGCTGAGCTCCGCTGAGGCTGAGCTCCGGTGTCAGTTACAGGTAGCCGGCCCGCAGGAGTGGAGGCTCCGGCTCGGCGCAGGGTGCAGCGAGGGCGCCCACGCCTCGAGAGCCGCGGGAGAAGACGCCCGGGAGAACGCGAGACCTCGGCGGGGAGCTGCGGCGGCTCAGGTGCGCTTCTCCCTCCCGGCGGGTTTCCGTCTCGGAGTCTTGAGCTTTCTCTCTGTCGAGGGTCGCGGTGACCCGAGGGCAGCGGGGGGCGAGGCCCGGCCGCACGGCGTGGCCTGCGGTCTCTGCGCTGATGCGGGACCCCGGCGTGCGGCCCCGAGCCTGCCCTGGCCCGCGCTGGCTCAAGAGCCGCAGGTGCTCTCCCGGGAGAGGCGAGCGAGGCGAGCTGTCTAGAGTTCAGCTGCTAAACTTCTGAGACTCCGGGAAGCCGGGAAAGGGGGTGACCGTGTCATTTTCCTGTGTTTAGCACAGCGCTGTAGGATTTCCGCCTCTTCCGTGCTGTTCTGTTTTCCCTTCCAGGACTTTCTTTTAATATAGGGAGATAGAATAGTTAAGTTGTGGGAGAGATGCCAAGCCAAACCTCGTCTTTAAAAGAATCACGTAAAATGTTTTTGCTTTTGTAATTCAAATATTTTGATTCTCATTGCAGGTAGGCAGTCAATAGAATTGTGTTTTTTCTTTTACTGTAACAGAATCTACAACTGGTTTTCCCTACTTGTTTAATATTTAACTTTCTTAAAACAATTTCTAGACGGGACTATTAATAATATTTGCCTCTGAGGTTATAGATTTGTTTTTATCATCTCCTTTGTAATTTTTTTGTGTAGGCGTTGCTAATGAACATTTTGCCCGTATGACTAGGAGAGAAACAAAATATTTTTTTTACTCCTTCACGAAAATTTAAATAGGTCTTGAATTTTGCTTCGTTTGAGTTATAGCGATTCCTGAATAGAACTTGTCGATGAAGAAATAAACGCAGGTTGAGAGAAAACTAATTTGACATGCTCTTAGGACATTTGGCATGTTGTCCATTGGCACTAAGATTTATTCGTACTGGTTATATTTGAAACCACACTCAGAAGCCGTGTAAAGGTATAGCTCATTCGAGTAAGCTCCAAATTAGAAGAGAGGAAGGCTATGGGAATTATGAATACTTGAGTGTAGAGGCAATCAAGGAGACCGAGGAGTCTTGAGAAAAAAATGAGAAATTCTTGGAGACAGTGGTACTTACTGTCAGGAGAGTTTCAAAGAAGACTTCAAGTGACATGAATCAAACGGATCAGAAAATAAAGTGCCTTTTGACTTCGGTAGCCAAGGATAGGGTCTTTGCCTTCAGCACCCCTAATCGTAGTAAGATAGTCAGGGCAGACACCAAACTGGAAGGAGTTCGAATTGTGAATAGAGGATAAAAATATTGGGTGTAGAATTTATATTCTGAGAAAAGTTAGGCAGAGTGACAGCAGGTGGCCATTAGAGGGACCCTGTTAGAGTTGGAAAGAACGTGAAGATCATAGAATAGCTTTTTGCGAAAATTCATTGGCCTCTCTCAAACTGAAAACTCGGAACAAGTAGCTGATCATGATAAATAATAGCACTATTTATAAATTGTGAATACTGTTTTAGTACTGTTTTGTTTATTGGGTTCCGCAGTTGCTATCAGTATCTAAGCTACAAATATGAACTGTGTCAAACTGTATTTCAGGTGCGTATTTGGAGTACTTTGGTACTCCAAACTTGCTTTTAAGTTATTTGACTTCTTTAGGTATGGCCTAATGATTCTTGTAGATATCTTATGTGGAAATCAGATGTTTTTACTAAGTTACAATTGCTGGTTAGTGCTCTGGGTTTAATATGCGTTTAAAGGAAAATGCTCTTGGATTCAAATTTCTGTATAATGGGTTTCACTTTGATCTCCATTGTTGTTATTCTGAAGTTCAGACTAGTACTTTAATGAATATATTACTTAGGAGGATGGAAAGGACAGTTCAAAAGGAAAGTCTGATGACCACGTATTATATATGAATCTCTGATAGTTGTGCTGGTGGGATTTGATTTGGTGTAATCATTTTAAAAACTTTTTGGGCAGTATATAATAAGGTGAAGCATGCATAAACTGTATGCCGTTACTCAACAAAATTCCAGAAAATGTAAACATTACAGAAAACACATTAAGTTGTTACAATGAAAGAAAATGGGATGGAGTAAAAGGGGGCATTGTGTATCCTTTGGGAATGTTGGGTGTATTAATTTACTGGATTGTAATAATACCTTTTCCAAAATATTTATACATGAATTATTTAACTGTAAATTTTAAAACTGTGTAGTTTATTTCAGGACAGTTGTACATTGATAAAGTGAGAAAGTAAATAAAAGAGGAAGAAATGACAGATTTAAACATAGTTGCTTTCTTTGAATATTATAGCTATGTCAGGGCGATAAGATTGTGAATACTTTTAATTTTCTTCATTTTTATATTGTATTGTGAATATATTACTGAGAAGCTATTTAACATATGCAAAATGGCATTAAACACATCTTAGATTTAAAGAATAGAGATACTCATATACTTAAGAAATAAGATATATTCATGACTGAGATAGGCCTGTAATTCTCTTTCTTGGTTGGGTCTTTGTGTGGTTTTGGTATCAGGGTAACTGTAGCTTCATAAAAGGAATTTGGCAATGACTTTTCTGTTTCTATATTGTGAAATACGTAAGGAGTATAGGTATTAGCTCTTCTTGGAAGTTCTGGTAGAATTCTGCATTGAACCCATCTGGTCCTGGGCTTTTTTTGGAAGGGAGATTTTTGATAACAGTTTCTAGTTCTTCGTGACTAACAGGTCTATTTAGATTATTCACCTGGTCTTGGTTTAGCTTTGGTATATGGTACTTATCTAAAAAAATGTCCATTTCTTTTGCATTTTCCAGTTTTGTGGCATACAGGCTTTTGTAGTAAGATCTAATGATTCTCTGAATTTCCTCTGTGTCTGTAGTTATGTCCCCCTTTTCATTTCTGATCTTATTTATTTGCGTGTTCTCTCTCTGTTGTTTAATTAGTTTGGATAGGGGTTTGCCGATCTTGTTGATTTTCTCCAAGAACCAACTTTTTGTTTCATTGATTCTTTGGACTGTTTTCTGTGTTTCTATTTTGTTGATTTCAGCCCTCAGTTTGATTATTTCCAGTCTTCTACTCCTTCTGGGCACCTCTGCTTCTTTTTTTTCCTAAAGCTTTCAGGTGTGCCGTTAAGTCCCCAATGTATGCTTTCTCTGTTTTCTTTAAGTGGGCACTTAGTGCTATGAACTTTCCTCTTAGCACTGCTTTCATCGTGTCCCATAGGTTTGAGTATGTTGTCTCTTTATTTTCATTAAATTCAAGGAAGACTTTAATTTCTTTCTTAATTTCTTCCTTGACCCAGGTGTGGTTCAGTAGTTGATTGTTCAGTTTCCATAATTCGGGTTCTTAGAGAAGCTAAATAAGAAGGAGAACCCAAAGAAAAACATATAGGCATCCTCCTGAATATTAACCTTCATCAGGCGATGAAAGGAGACAAAGACAGAGACCCACATTGGAGCACCGGACTGAAATCTCAAGGTCCAAATCAGGAGCAGAAGGAGAGAGAGCACGAGCAAGGAACTCAGGACCGCGAGGGGTGCACCCACACACTGAGACAATGGGGATGTTCTATCGGGAACTCACCAAGGCCAGCTGGCCTGGGTCTGAAAAAGCCTGGGTTAAAACCGGTCTCGCTGAACATAGTGGACAATGAGGACTACTGAGACCTCAAGAACAATGGCAATAGGTTTTTGATTCTACTGCACCTATTGGTTTTGTGGGAGCCTAGGCAGATTGGATGCTCACCTTACTAGACCTGTATGGAGGTGGGTGGTCCTCGGACTTCCCACAGGGCAGGGAACCCTGATTGCTCTTTGGGCTGACGAGGGAGGGGGACTACGTTGGGGGAGGGGGTAGGAAAGGGGAGGCGGCTGGGGGGAAGAGACAGAAATCTTTAATAAATAAATAAATAAAAAAAAGAAAAAAAAGAAATAAGACATAATATATTTAAAATTGTCCTGTGCATTGTATATTTTTCCTTTTCTTGATTTGCTTTATAATTTTATTACATGCCTGTATGTTTCTAAAAATTGTATTGTTTAGTTTTGTCTGTTTCAAAGTAAAATATGAAACAAATTATTCTGTATGATTTGTGACTTATTTTTTTATATAAGGTGTCATTGTACTGCTCAGATTAGCCTCAAACTTGCCATTCTCCTGTCTCAGCCTTTCCAAGTAAAGGGATTATCGGTATCTACCACCACATCCTGTTCTATGACTTCAGCACTTTATTTTGTGATATTTTCTATGTTCATATACTATAGATCATTTGCTTTTTATTGCTGTATATCATCCTAATATATGACTTTCCACTGTTTACCCATAATTTTGTTGATGGATGTTTAGTGTACATTGTCACCCTTTATTTTATTTTTTACTTTTGCCATTAAAAACTCTTTTGTGATTCCCTTCCAGTCTGTTTCTTAATATCCATGTATATGAATTTCCTTGGCTTTTTAAATCCAAGATTAGAGCCATGGGTCTTTATTTTTGCTAGATAATATTGAGTTATTTTATATGGTGCCTGTATCAGTTATATCATCACAAGTAAGTGTTCTCATTCTTATTATCATATAAGACATTTGAACATTGGTGTTTTGCCTCAGATTTTCCTTTTGATGATCTAGTGAGTGAAAAATAGTATCCCACTAGGGAATTTAGTTTACTTTTCTTTAATTATTTATTATTTATCAACAATTATTTAATTGTTGAACGTTATGTAGTTCTATGGGGTTTCCATTTATAGCCTTTTCTTTTTATCTTCTAGAAGTTCTTTATCTGTTTTTGAAATTGATTGTTTGTTAATTATGTGTGTTTTTCCATTAGGTAGCTTGTCTCCTTAGTTTGTAGTGCTTTTGAAGAACATACCATATATTTTAATATAGCTGGCTGTGCCAACTTCTTTTAGGTTTCTACTTTTGGTGTCTTGTTTAATCTTTCCCTTATTTCATCTTGCAAAAATGTAGTTTTATGTTTTCTGCTGGAAGCTTTAAAATGTTACCAAGGTGTGCATCTCTCATTTTTTCCATAACACCTAAAACTCCAGTAAA